TTACTGGCTAATATATCCATGTATATTATATTGTTATGTGCACGGCATAATGGACATATACAAGACTTTTCTTTGTTTTGATATCAGCATTACATATAGGCAACCGGTCGCCATGCCCTCTAAATATCGGCATTGGTATCGGCCATTTAAAAACCCATATGGGTGGACCGCATATGTTCGCCGCTTCTGTCTCATCATATTACATAGGTTGGAGTTCAATTCTCTCCTAAAATACAGTAAATGATAACCATCATAAATTATAACAGGCCTCCCGCCAGTCTGGTGAATGTCAGTGTCTTTGGAAACTTCATTCTGAGAGTTCAGTGGATGCAATTGAACAAAAAGCGACTCAAACATTTAAATGTCGGGTGTTGCCACTGGCAAATGACTTTGGAGGCAGATGTGAAACTGGGAAGTGGGAAGAATGAAGAGTCGATCAGTACGGTTCAATTTTCAATTTTCCAGTTTAAGCCCATCTAGGTTCAATCTCATGGCCCTGCCTCCTTTATGATAGACCCATATATCCTATTCCAGCTATAATCTTAAATGCCATTTGACTCATTTCATTGCAAAAAGATTCTCAGTCCAGTTAGAGCTTGGATGGCACTTACGTAGATCAATCAATGTCATCTTGATTTTATACATTAGTCATGGCCTCAATTCTTAATAGTAGAAAACATAAAGTTTTAGTGTTACTGAAGGAAGCTAAATGGCATGCTAACCAGTTTCCATTTCACTGTTTCATGACAGGAGAGAAAAATAGTATATATAGTAGTATTAGTTTGCTTTTGGCACACATTTGCATAATTTCCACATTTGAATTATACATTTTAGAGTAAAGGTTCAAGAAATTTTATCAAGCATTTTCCCCAGTCCACACTTGACAACCAGTAATATGTTAACCAAATACATAAAAAAATACTTTAAATATTATAACTACACAAGTCCTTTTTGTTTTATTTCATCTTTAAATGTAGACCCACAAAAGAGATTTACATCACATCTAAGAAGCAGCTTAAAACCTAATGGGCTACATGAGTATACTGTATATGTATATTTCTTTACATCGGTGCAATGTTTTCAATAAAGGAACAGTATATCCATAGGAAATGTACAAATACTGCCATATAGCAGCATCTGCCTCACCACCAGGTCTTGGCTCTGCAAACAGCCATAGTGCAGGGAGCAAGAGGGAGAGAACTTGCAGCTTTTATTTGCTCTGGCTTTGGCTTAAGGTGCTGAAACACCACTTAATCTACCAGTCCACAGGGTTCTAAGGTCACGGCGCCCTAGGACGATCCTGAAAAGTAGAATGCTGCTCAAATCCCACAACAGCCTTGCACACACACACACACAATGGTTTCTCAACTCAGTAATTTTCCCTCCTGCCCATGCTGTATTCAGCTACTCTACTTGCAATTGTATGTGTCTATACTAACAGGCTGCTTGTCAAAAAATTTAACACATTGGCTTTGTCGCCGACTTCCAGACATGATGTGATTCTAGGGGAGGCAACTTCACGTGTGCATTTTTCTTCCATTTGTATAACCACACTACTGAAATTAGCACATAGACACTGGCTCACAATTTCAAAACTAAATCTTTGCTCCACCATGAATACATTTAGGCAGAATAATAATAACAAAAATAGAAATGATCCCAGGAATTATTTAGCAAATTCAAACAAAGCCTTACCTGACCCTTGCCCTGAGGCTTCCAGTTGTTTCCTAAACCACTGTTCTTGTGGGTGGTTTACTACTTACCCTTGTGTCACAGGCTTCCCTCACTTAATTGACTCAACTGAATTTTAAATGTGAACTGCAATTTGCCATTTTTGAGAGGAATAGTTTGACATTTTTGAAACAGGCTTATTAATTTTCTTGCCAAGAGGTAGATGAGAAGATTGATACCACTCTCATGTTTGTACAGTAAATATGAATTAATTGATGAAACTTGTGAGCTACAGCTATTACAGGCTTGCTTTAGCTTGCAGGAAGAGGCAGATTTAGGTGACGTTTTAAATTGCTTTCAACTCTTCTTAAGGATGTGGTTTCCACCCGAACTCCAGATGAGGACTGGTTGATCCAATCACCTTCCAGTCCCAATGTGTGCATTTATACCTAGCATTAACATATGTTTTTCCTTCTCCAGATATAGACAGCATGCTAATACAAGGTGATTATGGGGCGCAAAGATTTGTTCATCTGGGAGCCCACATGTGTTTGGTGGGCAGAGGTGTTTCCTGAATACAGTGTAAGGTACACTCATTGAGTCAGGTAACTAAAGTCAGTCACACATGCAGCCTGCGAGACTGACTCCACAGCTTGGTAAGCTTTTGTGTACTCATTCTTACACAGGTGTTAGACAGTGAAAGTGTGTCTTTGTAGCTGAGTTAATTCAATAGGAAATAGTTGTGAGAATGGTCCCCTTACAGCTTTCAAACCCTTGCAAAACAAGCTACAATGTATTCTGCAGAGGTAAAAAGGACTGCTGTAAAAGTTCTGTGACGCAAGAAAAGACCAAGTATGATGCATCTGGGTGTAATTTGTTTGACAAATAAATTGCGCATCACATCACTGTGGCAGCCAAGTTCATTTAGTCACTGTTATGAGTCAATCTCTAGTGTCTACACCAGCATCTCTTACTTCCTCTAATGCCACATATAAATTGAATGCATAGCATCTGCAGACTTTAAGTGCTCCACTGAAGTACCTCAACATATAATATGACACCGGATATTGTGAGATTCCAGTCACTGCTCCTTCATTCACTGGCGGCTGTACTAACCGCATTAGTCATCAAGAGCACAAGGCTCTGAAAGGACACTGGCAGAATGTGAAGGAGAGGCATAAGAGTTTTTATCTCTCAGCTCCTAAAATGACTGAGCAATGAGAGTAAGAGGAGCTGATTCATGTCACCTTTGTTGCCTCATTTTTTCTCTCCCATTCATCAGATGAGGTCTGTGTGAATTAGCATGGTTTGCAAAGCAGCTGCAGATGTGAGACACTATTCACACTGCCAGATTTCAGAGTATCAAGTTGAGTGAATTCAGGACTTTTATCTTCTTTAATTATGTAAATCATATGCCACAGATATTTCCTATCAAGTCGAGAGGCAGAGCTTTTTTCTTTCCTCTCAGCAAATTTTCAATGAGACTCCCAAGAGAAGCAGGCAGAGGAAACAATACTTGAATTGCGCATTACAGAAAATGTGGTCTGGATTCTCTAACTATCAAGGCTGCAAATAACAAATTATCCAATTCTTTAAAGTATTTTAAATTTTGAAGTTACAATAGTGATATTTCTTGTATTTATATACTGCACTTCCATTTCTATTCACATCCATCCACACAATTTTGCAGACTATCCCTCACTGAACAAGCATGTAGATGTCAGCATCAAAATACAGTTATGTTAAATGCTCACAGTCATTAAAGAAATCAAGATTTTGGAAAATACGCTTGTTTGTTTTCTTGATACATGAAGCTATACCACCTGCAGCAAGTAAGCTTAGCTGGTTAGCTGTACGAAAACCAAAGTTACATACTGACTACATAAACAAGATATAGTGCTACTTAGTGAGCTTTAAGGTTATTATAGAGGTGCACAAAGTCAGTGAAAGACATCTAACACACAAAAAAGGATCATCATATTTCCCAAAATGTCAAACTATTCCTTTAATGGCAGCATGGTTAATATGGGTAAGAATGCTATCCATTCAATTATTGTAGTAAATGTTTAGCTACTAAACTATAGCCTTGAACATTTGCCCTATCACAAGGGAAGTTCTAAATAGTAAAACTTGAAATTCAAGTTGACAGAGCAACTACAACTGCAGGATAAGAGATTCAAGCCTCAGCAGACAGCAATCTCTATAACACAGACAAAAATCCACGCCTGACACTCTCTTGAAATGTATGTCAATTCATGTTTTACTTTCTTTGCCCTTATTTTCCAACTCCTTTCTGAATTGCATGGCAAATTTCATATTTGACTGTATAACTCTCACAGCTACAGAAGTTTTACCTTAGTGTAGTTTTATAATTAACTTCTTCTTACAAATCTCAGAAAAGTAGCAGTACTTCTGCTTAACAATCCATGGTATGAAGTCCTTCACTTTATCCCTCGGTAGATTTCATTGCTACTGACTGCACTTCTTCTCCGTATTTTCCCATGATCAGCTTCACAATCCTGATGTCAACACACGCACAAAGACTTGAGAGATAAATCTATAGTCCCTCTTCACCTCGATAGCTTTATTTTAAATAGCCTGTAGCTAGTAGCATGTTTTTTGGATGAAAGGTTGATGTACTGCATAAGTGTTCCTCGTATAAACAATGACACACAAATCTCCAGTGGTAAAATATCCCTGAAGGTGCAGTGAATGTGGAGACGAATTGGCATACCGTTTCCTGGCACTGTGCCTTTCAAGCCTCAAACACACTGGAAAAGTTGACAGTGTTATTAAACCCAGTCAAGTGTAGGTGAATAAGTATTAAATCATGGTTATGGCCTGATTCCTTGTCATCAATCCTCACGTTGCTTCAGTAATGGGAGCTCAACCAAAGATGAGGCAAATTAAGAAAGCGGAGGTTTTACACACATCCATAATTACCACGATTGTGTTCGACATTACCGATCAGTTTGCCACGCACTCTCGACCTCTTCCAGCCCTGTAAACTGAGGAGTGGTGCTGCTGAACTGAATTCAAATCTGACAGTGCTCCACATCACTCCAGATATCGAGAGAAAAGACATAACAGCCAGGCCAGTCACAAGAGTGTCCCAGCCAATAACAGTATATTGCCAATGGAAATACTGAGTGTGTGCAGACAGACAATCAATAAAACTGCAGAAGGGTCCCACAAGGACGAGTTCCCTGGATAATGTTTGTTATTCATTCGGAGCCTTGCTGTTAGAGCTATAAAACACAGATGTGCTTACACAAAAATAAAGGAATTGACAACAGTAGTAAGGCAGAAACAGCTACAAAAAAATTTACCTGCAGTGAAGTTGTAACTTGCTGAAAATCCCACCGCTTCCAGTTCACCATCTGTAACAAATTTTATCCACAGATATCGGCCGCTACTCCTGATATCGGGCGGGCTGTGCTGACCGCAGTACCGTCCGAGAATTGGGGAGAAGCCAAACGGTCCATCCCGAACCTCGATGTTGTCAAATTTACATTCCCAAGAGGACTCGATTGAATAATTCTCCTCAAAGTGTAGATCAATACACTGCCTTGGGGGGGCTGGAAGACACAAGGAAAATAATTACCACCGAGCACAAAGCAGGGGGTGAAATATTAGTCATGCTTTCATTGATGAGCGTTCAACCTGTTTCATTATCGGTCTGCCCACACGTTCAATACACACCTCCAATCCTGGCTGTTACTCAATTCACCTCTAACACACCAGAGCTGTGATAGCCTTTAGCTTCTACATTCACTTTGGTAATTTTTTAACCTCATTATCCGCACCAATCAATCAAGTATCGCCTCCTAATCTGAAAAATATCAGCCCTGAAGTAGCCTCTCACTGTCTAATAAACAAATACATGTCATTATCCTCTAAGAAGTTACTGTGTCCCCCAGGATAACCCTGGGAATGCTTTAGCTTTAGAGAATAAATAGCTGGAGCACCTTTTTCACTGTTGCTGTGCTTAAAGAGAACATTTACCTTCAAGGATGTAAACACACTCTATGTCTGGAGGGTATTTGTTTGGGTAATTGGGAGACGTGAAGAGCCCTCCTTCTGGTTCCTTCACCCACGTTCCACATTGACCTGCAGGCTTCACTCCAGAATTGTTTTTCACTAAAAATATATACATGCCAAAAGGGAAAGAAAAGTGAGAAATTAAAGCTTTGAAGGAGAGGATATTTAGGCAGTAAAGACGTGTGGCTGTGGTGATGGAGATTACCTGCTGTATCCTTCCTTGTTGCCCCAGACAACCCAAGTATGAGAAGACTTGCAACAACTGTACGAGGAGAAAGACGATTACATTTTTGATGGAAGACTGTGACATGCACATATTGTTTTTTCTGTTATTTTCTCTGTTTTGTGCACAGCTTGATTTCTGCTGAGGGAGGTTTGAGTCAGCAAGGAACAAAAATTTTAAGGTTTCTGTATCTCATGTACTGTTCACCAGCGTTATGCTAATGCTAAACCTGCACTGACTGTAACCTTAAAGAATGCTAACAGCAATACCTGAAATAATCACAATAGCAAGCTATTCTTAGAATTCTATTATGGTGATGAATATATTCTGTAATGTCAAGAAATAGAAGCCTTTATAATGCTGATAAACCTATAGGCCTGTACTGTAACATTGTGCAAACATACAATAATTGTAGCCTTTTTCAGCCATAAGCATTAACCAAAGTCTATTTAAAAAATATGAGTTTTTAAAAATAACATAGAAATGTTCCATAACATGACAAAAAAAAAAAATAATAATATATATATATATATATAATATATATACATTGACTACCAAAACATCTACATCATGAGTTGCCATACATCACAGTTTCTTAAGATTTTCTTCCTAAAATAAAAATTATGCAAAAAAAGAAGAACAACAACACCTAGAAGAACTTGCAGTGTGACCTTCAACTGTGAGTTTACAGGTTGTAGGATGCAGTATTTCTGTGTATCACTTCATGCTATTTGTATCATCCCAAGAAACCCCCATTCTGTTTGTATTGACTTTTATCTGTTGCTCTAACATTTCGCGTCTTTTAACGCAGATTAAAGGATCACCACACTTATTTAGGGTATAAGCAAGCAATAAGAGCTCTGAGCAAGTGTGCTTCAGCTGGTGATGTCTTACCGTGATGGAAGCTGTGCCCATGTACCATGTCTGTTCCTTTCACAAACGGCTTCAGACTCAACTAATTCCATTTAGATTTAGGAATACTTGAAGAGAAAAAAAAGATTGAGATGAGAGTTTTCACACCGGGAAACCGCTCATACCATACAACCCCCTCGATGGGGAAAAAAAAACAAGCAAATTTACTTCCTTACTAAAATCTTCAGTGGGGAAAAAAATCCTTGCAGATGTGTCACATCAACTAATCACCAGTTTCATATAGAACCAAAAACAGTTCTAAACACTCGCCCGATTTCCATCCAAGCGTTTCTAATGCCCTTTGGTGCTTTTGATGCACTGAAAGGATTAATAGTCCCGTCATCAGCCCTTCTCTAATCGCTCCACCTTTGCAATCTTCTTTTGGAAAATATCAGGACAGCCTTGTTTTGTCCTCTTTGGTCCCTTTATCAGGAGAGCGGATCCTTCAGGAGCATGTACAACCACGCAACGCTCATCTCTGCAGCGTTTTCTTTACTCTCTTTTGGGTGCGAAAAATCCCCTGGAAAACACCGGGTAGCCAAAAAAATAAAAAATAAAATAAAAAATTAAGTGGATTTTCGTTTGGGTTTCATTTCTGTGTTTGTTAAGAAAAAAAAAAAAAACCTTGTCAGTGTCTCTCTGAGTGCATCCTCCTGTCTTGGCTTCTATCAACTGGAGAGTCCCCGCAGCCAGCAGGAGTTAATGTATGATTCTCCCTCCTCCTTCCTTTCATTCAACACTACAGCCTTCCAGTGCGCCGCAATCCTCACGTACTTTTGACGCACGCATTGGAAACTTCTCCAGGACACGACTCCGTCCACACACTCACACTCACACACGATCACACACCAGTCAAAAAGTGGAGAAGCGCTAATGTAGGTGCGTGCGAGTGTGTGTGTGCGTGTGTGTTGTGTTTGAACAATAAGCACCGCAGAATTCATTTCAGCTCGCCGCGATCTGCCGCGCAACGAAAGTGGAAAGGTAAGCAGAAAAGCCAACGAGATAGAAAATTGAATGAACAAGCAATAACCCACACATGTCAAAGAGTGAGTTGTATCAGCGTGATCAAACATGGAAAACCTGCGGAGTGGAAATAGAAATACAGAATTGTTCTGTGGAAACTAGAAGCATCAAAGCTTGTCTTTCATCCTAGCTTTTTGCTCATTCACAGTCCCAGCTTTGTTTCTGGTTGTGTGGTGCCTCTGGGATGTACCCTAAAATACAGCAAACATCCCTACAGTATGGTGCAACTGCCACCCACTTCAAGGTTATCATGGAAGACATCTTCAAATAGCTCTCCATGTTTCCACTCTACAAGAAATGGAGAGGCACAGCGAAGGAGACCTGGGCTGCATTTTTTCCCCCTTCTCTTTATGTTTATCTTTCTCAGAAAAGTGGACCATTACTTTTCTTGAGGTGTGAGTGTTGGGTATTGTGTGTAGTCGCTCTCACACCTGATGACAAAGCTGATCAGAGGGTGCCCAGGGACAAGTCAGGGGCTCAGGCTCCCAAAATAGTCTTGGCACCCAGCAGACAATATCCATCTTCAGATACTCCTGCTGCAGAGGCAATCTTGGACTGGGTCCCTCTGTGTGTATGTTAATGCCACTGGTTAGCATTTGGATCAGCTTAATATATGCTGTTAATAAACCACCCTGGTAGTGGATGCTGTTATGCCCATGACAGACTTGAGTACAAAGACTTTGTTCCCTCTCTCTGTTCTCTCTCTCTGCTGGCCTCGCTCTCTCCTCTCTGTGTGTGTGTGTGTGAGCTTTTTCTAGTGTTCAAACCCTCTTGAGATTTCTAAGATAAAGACTTACAATTGTCTCTAACGTCCTCCTCTTAATTACATCCTGTCCCAGAGATTGGCCTGTTACTCACTACTCTAAAAGTGTTTGGTTTTATAACAGGTAATGCAGACTTTTGCGGGTGCCATGATGACTTTGAGAATACGTGTGGGAGTGAGAAATCTCAGAACTCTTTTCAACTAATAGGCTCCTGCTAATCTGTTATACAGAGCGATTTAATGGACTTGGGATTTAGACCCCCTCAACGTAAGATCTGGGGCTTAGCCAGTCACTTTCTTGCTACTGTACAATCAACTCCCATGAAGCTTGAAGCCCACAGTGTAATGTAGCTCACACTGCTTTCTCCCAAATTTCACAAACAGAACAAAGACATGGCTGGAAAGAATTTAAAATGTCAATTTCTCTGCAAGGGCAAAGCCTATTATAGATCTTACAGTCTGAGTGGATGTCAATAATATTTGCGCCAAAATACAATGCAGTGCCCAAAGCTTGTTATTGATTTACAGTGGTGCTGTGGTGTCTGACAACTTTATAAGCACAACACCACACGTTTTCTGATGGGTAAATTCAAAGATAAAGCAGCAGAGCTATATGGGAATTATTCAAATGAGGCTTATCTGGCCCACTGTATGCAACAGTAGCCCTGGTGAATTTAACAGCAGCCTCCAGTTTAGCTCTCCAGCATGTATAAACTGTCTGTTTGACTGAATGCTATTGAGGCAGTGGGAGCATCTCAGAGAAATAATTCATTCAACAGCAGTCTCAAAGTCTGCCATTTTTAATTAAGGAAGTCTATCATTTGGCCGGAGATAACTGTTGTGCTGTGTCGGCCTAACACAAATTTGTAATTGTAATCAGTTTGGGGAAATGGGACATCCAGGCCGGGAACCATATACATACAGCACACAGAGACAGGTAAACATCAATACATTACACTGCTCTGTTTGCTTTTTTATCTTCAATTAAATCTTAGGACTGCTCATTGTCCAGCTTCGGTTAATTAACTAGTTGCTCCAACTTGCTTTACCAAACATCAAGACTCATAAGCTTCACTTAAAACATGCAAAAGAAAAGTCACAACAAGTGTATTATCCCGTAGCACATACAAAACAGCAAGTAATTCGTGATTGCATCGTGTTCATTTGGCTCTGACCTGATGAGTAAATTGGCCGTTCAACTTCTACTTAGTGTCATTCTAATGACACTGCCAGCACTGTTCCTTTTTGTCAGTCTAACAGGGGACAGCGCTAAAGCGGATAAACACTTAGGCTAATGCCTCCTGCCCAATGGGACTCAAATTAACCTTATTAGTGATGCATTGAGCAGTTTGTTGGCCTAAAAAAAAACACAATTTATTTGTCATTCAAGACGCCTTGTAGTTCATTAAGCAAGACCCAGTTACAAGAAAGGGTCGCTCCGACCATGGGAAAATTTTGTGCTGCTCTTTATGCTACGTTAGCTGTCTGGGTCTCTGGTGATAGACTGCCTTTATCCAGGCCCTGCACCTGGAGCCAGTGGGAAAATAATTCCATCAGATGATAGCCTATAAACTACCTGTGGCTTCAGTTTTGTTTAGGTGCTTTTGTTAGTTTGCAATACAGCATACCATTTCAAGCTCCTGTGCTATCTCTCGCTTTCTCTATAAAAAGTACTAGACTACCTTATATTATGCAAAATGGGGAAAAAGTGAAAGTGAAAAATCAGATAGACACGGTGAAAGGAAACTATATTTGACACAAAAACTTCTCAGAGTTGAAAAATGTAATGTATTTGGCAGTTGTGCAGCTATTACGTAGAAGTAAAATGACAACATGGTGGAATGGCATGATAGTACCGCTTAAACTAATGATTATTTTCACTATTGATTTCAATTTCAATTTCAATTATTTTATCAGTTAATCCATTTGGTCTAAAAATGTGAGAAAATAGAGAAAAATGCTCATCACAATTTCCAATAGAGCAATTTAATATAATTTCCTGTTTTGTCAAATCAAGTCAAAAACTTAAATATATTCAATATCCTATCATAGAGGACTAAGAAAACCAGCAAATAATTAAAATTTAAAGGTGGAATTTAGTGAATGTCTGGCACTTTAGCTTTGAAAGTTTACTGGATTATTAATAGTATGAATGTAATATGCAAACAACCATAAATTATGACATATATTACAGTAAGAGCTGAAATATGGATGTTCTTGTCTGAAGAGGCAGTAATTACTAAGTGTAATTGGTTCTTTATTTCACTCTTCTCTTTAAAACACAAAAACGCCATTATGAGTTCAGACAGTCCACATATGTTAAAAAACATCCAGAAGGTCAAATGCGCTTTGTTCCATGCGCACACAATCACATTTACTACTTGACCTTCAGGTAAAACATTTAAAATGCAAGGACACACAACATGTGTAACTTCATCAGTTCAGTAGCATCGCTGCCATGGAGTCACTTAATATAGCAGGGGTGCATAATAGCACATCCTGAGTGTGTATATTTGTGTGTTGGGTTGTCAGACACTTTTAAAATTCAAATGGGTGCAGCCCTGGACACCTGTGGCGTCTATAAATCCACCACTGTTACTGATTGTGATGAAGCTAAAATCAGATTTTGCAAATGTTTGGTACTTTTCTTTTGAGGAATTCAAAGTACTGAATTAACTAATTTCACTTTGAACTGCTCCACATTCATCTCTCTCATGTCTCCTCGATGCTGCAACTCATCTGTCAATCACTGTGGCTTTATCCATCCAGCAATTAATCTCAGCCCAAGAGGGGCAGCTGCACTGGCTGTGAACCTAAATGTCTGCTGAATTGGTACGCCTGGTCTGCAGATTTCTACTCTAGTTATAGTACTGAGAGTAGTTATATGAGAGGGCTAATTTTTAGCACTTTTCAGCAGATCTTTTGTCTTCATGTTTCCTCTGGAAGGCTTTCACTCCGCCCTCCCGTACATATGATGAGGCATGAAGGAAATGGTGACTTGCTGCTTCACAGGTGTCCTGTATTTGGGCTAACATACCCTCTGCAATCTGTTCTATGTATGAAGTCCCAAGCCCCTGGGTTAAACTGACTGTGTAATTCGTCATTTGACCTCATTAACCACTTGGTAGGGGGGTGCCATAGACACTGTGGAGTGACACTGTGGGCCATAACACCCCCGATGGGAGAGCTGATGTCATGCCGCTACCAAAACACAGTCTTTTTCAGATTGAGGCTGAGGGAGTGAAGCAAGAATCGCAGCTGACACTGATTCAGCCCTCTGTTTATTTACAGCTTCTACGAAACCATGGTTTAGTTCAAATGATCTGTTCAAAACAACAGAGTATCCGATATGTTGCATGCAAAGAATTTCATTTGGATTTATTAGCAAAGCTGTTGCTATTGACCACTCGCCAAACCTCGACCGTGAACAGAAATTGTCCAGTCATAGCTTAACAATCATTACCATGGCACAGCAGGCCTGTAAAGATACGAAAACAGTATGCATGTGGCTCTCATAAGTGAGATACTCAGCAGTCGAGAGTGAAGGGTATAAGTCAAAAAACAAAAGCAAACGTGTAAGGAATGGATTAAACTATGTTTATCTGTTCTTGCAAACGCTGCAGATATCAGTATGTCCATCTAACTAGCATTCTGCGTTATTTCCAAAGGCAAGGAACATGTCATAAGCTAACACCATTACAACTTACAACTTAAAAAGGTCTGTTCATGACTGAAACATTCACCCGATGGGAACAAAGATGTAAGTATACCAGAGTTTAGAGTAATAATAAGGGCACTTTCCTGCTCTTTATTTGGTCTAGAGAAGTGTATACTCCAGAACTCCAGCCAAACTGCATCAATATTTTGTATTACTGTGCTCTTACACTAGGGCTAACTATCTCTACTCTGCAAAACACAATGTAGT